ATACCCTGAACACTTTGTGTTCAGGGTATAACTTCTTAAATTACAAATGAAGTTCTTTTAAACGAATTAATATTAAGCATTTTTGTTTATGAACTTTAACATTATTTACACGCACAGAAACAAAGTCTTTTTTTCCTGGTCATTGTCTAGTGTATTTGTCAGATTCATATATTTCAATGACTCTCTGCCTAACAATATCTTCCAAAAGATGTCCTTTTTTAGCCTCAAGTTTAGCAAGTATTCCCTTTTCATTTTTCAGCTCTCCGGCTTTCTTAACAAGATGGTCTGAAACTGAAAATGCATTGCAAGTTTTTTTTAATTGACTAACTATCAGGAGTTAATGTTAGTAACTGAACTTTTTCTTCATTCAAACTGATTTTTACTTTTTCCTTTATTGCATCTAAAAGTATGTCTAAATCATTACAGTTAATGCACTTTTGTTTTTTCTCAGATATTATTTCTTTTAGGTCTATATCTAATGCTGATGATACTAATTTGTCATACTTTTTTCTAGTTTTTTCATATTCTAATTTGTCACGTTTACTTACATTTTTTAGAGGAGATAATTCCAGTAAAGAAGCACTCTTATTTAAAACTGTCTTATTTAGGTCTGAAGAACTAAACTCCTCATAATCAACATCTTTGTCTTCATCTACATGACTAAATTTTCCTGTAATCTGTTCAAGTTTGAATTCATTCACACAGTTAGTGCAAAGTTTTTGACCAGGTTTGATCTTAAGTTGACTTGCTGTTGAAGTATTGACTTAACATAATCCCTTAATAAATTTTTTCTTGTGGACTTTAAATGGATCACAGCAGTATTTTTGAAGCGCTTCATATCTAGAAATATAGACTATTTCATGGTGAAAATCCTCTCATTTAGTTCAAAAGTGTGTCTAATTCTTTGAATTAAAACTTCAACATCTTTGTTCACAATATCTTTTAGTTTTATTCTTCCAATCATTCTACAATAATACGTTTTGTCGCAATCTTCATTTAAAACTTTCCCCACACAACATTTCTCTGTCATTTTTTACTATTTTTTTATTTTTATTACTAATCTAAAAAGTTTAAAAAAAACATAAACATATTAAATCTAAAAGAAAATAACAAATATCAGACACTGATTATGACACTGATTATGTCATTATTATTAGTAAAAATTAGGACATTATGTCATTAAAAAGAAAACTGAATATATTCATTCAGAGATAAAAAAAAATATAAACTACTGTAATCCCAATGACTAATTATTAGACTATGACCTAAAACTAGCTCATAGTCTAATAACATTCTCCTTTTGAAAACATCACTCTCAAAAGGCTACAATCATGTCTTAAGATAGAGTATAGGTCATTAAATTTTGTTTTGGTGATTGTCTATATATAGAACTTCAACATTAAAAAGTTTCATAATTTATTTCAACTGTTTACGGTATTTTCTATGGTGGCAAAGTCAATGTAATTTATCATAATTTTTTAAAAAAGTGATTTTTCATAGGCTACTGCATGTGCTAAATTAATTTTTAATGCATAATTTGATTATTCTAACAAGTGGTGACCCTAAGTACACAAAGGTAACAAAAAAATCCACTTTCTGTAAGTATTAAACTGTAACAAGTTAAAGTTTAAAGAAATATTTATAATGTTGCAATATTTAGCAGCTTTAAGGTACATAAACTCAAAAACTGTAAAAATCAGTCAAAAACAACTGCAATAATGGATTAAAGCGTGTACATGAAATAAATGTGAAAGAAGAAGTACGCCATTTTTTTTCAGTGGTTATATTAAAATCTTTTCAATTGTTTTGTATTTTGTTTACAACATGTTGTGGTTTCAAAAAAATGTATTAGTTTTTTGATTTAACTTAAAATTAGTTTTAAAAATGACAAAAGAAGATGACCTAAGAGAAAAAATTATGCACAAATGTTTGGAAAATCCCAATAGTAGCTACAATTCGATAGCAAAAGCATTGCAAATACATCTATACACCGTTAGTCGTGTAACCCAACATTTTTCTTTTACAAAATTGATCAAACGTAAATCTGGTGGCGGAAGAAAGAAGGGTTTTAAAGATAAAAAACTAGTTAGTAAACTGGTTAACAATTTTAAGACTAACCCAAGCCTTTCACTAAGGGAGCGTGCAAACATTTATGGACTTTCTCATAGTTTTGTTGAAAAAGTTCAAAATAAACATGGTTTTCATTCTTTCAAAGCACAAAAAGTGCCCAACCGATATGAAACTCATCAAAAAAGTGCAAAAACCCGCCGCAGAAAGTTTTATGGCAATTTTATTTCTAAAAGTTTCTGTATTATCAAAGACGATGAAACTTATATCAAGTACGATCATCAGCAAATTCTATTATATTATTGTCTATTATATTGCCAAATGTAGAGGAAAAGCAGATAAGAAATTTAAATACATAAAACATGACAAGTTTGCTAAAAAAAGTCTTGATTTGGCAAACTATTTGCAGTTGTGGCAAAATATCAGCACCTTAAATTTCTCAGTACACACTTTCGGATCAAATATATGCTAAAGAGAGTTTACAAAAACACCTTTTACCTCTCATTAAATTGCACAATAAGAGAACTGTGTTCTGGCCAGATTTAGCTTAAATTCATTATTACAAACTAGCTTTGGAATGGTATTAAAACAATAATGTGAAATTTGTGCCTAAAACAGAAAATCCTCTAAACTGCCCAGAATTAAGAGTTATTGAAAAGTTCTGGGTAATTACAAAAAAAAAAAAATGAAAAAAACTTTGCAGAAATATTAAATATATAAAAATATCATTTAAAAAAGCATCAAATGGCTTCAATTCTTATTCTGTGCACAAGCTTATGGATACCACCAAAGCAAAAGTTCGAAATTTTATTAGATTCCGACAGGAATAATTTGATTTTTTTTTATAATTGATCTTCTTATATTATTGTATTAAAGTTTTTACTTGGTTGGAAATAAAAATTGAAGAGTACTTTTTTTTAGTTGTTTTTCTACTTTTACATTTATTTCGTGTACACACTTTATTTGGGTGAAAAACTATTACCCTACAAAATTTCAGGTGATCAACATCTTTATTTAAAAAGTTATGGTATATCAAAAATCAAAAAAAACTGCTGTAAGCTACTGATACACAAATTTTTCCGATTTTGGTAATTTTTAATTCATTCATAACTTTTGAACAAATTGGTCAATCAAGCTGAAATTTTCTGGATTGTATTTTTGGTCAAAATTTAAAGCAATTCTGAGGTGGTAACCTGGGAGCCTTTAAGTGATTTGATATAGAATACACTGTTCTCTAAATTGACCGCCAGGTTAAAACTCTCCCCACTCCTGATTTTTTTGCATTTAATTAATCATATGCATTAGTAAACACAATTTAAGTTGTCAGAAAAATCTGAACTAAGTGCTAAGTACATATTTTTCAATATTATAACTTATAATTTTTCGCTTTTTGATTAAAGTCAGCCATTATGGTGGTTAAAATAAACCATCAACATTTATTAACTTCGTTTACAAAAAACACATATAACAAATAAATATATAACACATATTATATTAATGCTACTGATTATTTAAATTAAAATTAACTACAGCAGATTTTAGCTTTTTTCCATAATTTTTGTGACCTATAGTTCTTTTATAGTTCACCCAAGTTTTTTTAAATTTGTGGTGAACAGCTTCACCACATTGTTCTGCATAGTTTCCTAAGCTAATGTTATTGTGTTCTATAAAGGGAAGAATATGACACACTAAAATATGTATTTTCCAGGAAACTTTCAAATCATAGTCAAAAATATCTTTTGCATATAATTGGAGACTTGAAAAAGAACATTTGAAGTCTTTGATTTTAGCAGAAATATCTGCACCCATTTCTAAACCAAACACTGCTGATTATACTAATGAAAACTTACGCAAACAATTAATTATTGGTAAAATATCAATCGTTGCAGTTAAGGTAACATCCCTCTCCAAAACATCTAACATTTTTTATAAAATTTTTATAAATAAATTTTTGACCACCATGTATGCAACAGTATTTGATAAAATAGTATTTAATATCAGCTGCCATAAAAGCAGCTTTTATAGGAATGGATTTCCTAGCAGCCTCAATAGTTCTGGCATCACTTACCCACAACTTTATAAAATAAGTATCTTCGTAATTCCTGATAGCTTCTTTTAAAAGTGCAAATGATGCAAAAGAGTCAGAGCATGAAAAAGCCATAATTTTGCTAGAAACAAAATCAAAGTAAGTTATGAAAATAACTGTAAATTAAAAAATTATGAAAATAACTGTAAAAAAAGCGCTTTTATTGGTTAATAAATTCTATTTTGACACGTGACATTTTAAGCCAATAAAACAGACTTTCGGTAGGCAAATTTTTATTTTTTTGGCTACCGACTTTCGGTAGGCTATCCACGGCGTTTAAACATAGTATCGATTGACAGAATAAAAAAGAGTTTTGATATTATCTTTCCATTTTTTTAAAATATAAAAATAAAAAAAAGAAGGTATATTTATTAATCTTCTAAGAATCTTAAAAGGTTCCTTATAAGAAATAAACTTCAAGAGATTCTCGTGACTTAATGTTTTGTTTTTTTAAATAATGAAATATTTGTTAACATTTAAACAATATGCTTAAAACATTTTTTACTTCAATCTAAATTATTAATGTAACAATAAAGGCAATAAACAAATTATTTTTGTGTAAGATCTTAAAGTTATTTTTTAATTTTTATTGCTGTATTGGCATTTCAAATGTTTGATTTATTTAATAAAGAAGGCATTTTAAATGTCTTCTTTATTAAATAAATCAAAAATTTGAAATGTCACACAGTATAAGTTTTTTTTTCTTAATTTATTTATAATAGTTTAGATTATATAGCTGTTATAAGATATATTATTAAAGGTATTAATAATACATATGTCACATATGATATGTGGCATTGAAGTTATTAGAAGCTGATATTTTACATTTTAAGTATGTCTCTTTTTTTTGATTTTTTCTGTGTTTGATTGTGAAAACCCATCTACTAATATATTAAAACTGTACAAAAAGTAATGTTACTAGAATTTATATTCTACTTATGTAGTGCTTTCTAATATTGCCAGACATTTTATTTTAAGACCAATGACTAGTCTATAATAATTGATTGAATTATGAGATTAAACCAATAAATAATCATTAAAAACAATTAAAATAAAAAAACTCAATTTAAATCATTATTTTTATTTGTCTGATTTAAGTCATGATTTAAATCGAAACAACCCTTTATATATTCCATCTTTCTGAGGCAGAGGGACATTATTCTTGGTTTTATAATTTTTAATTTAATATCTCTGGATATTTTACATATTTAGTGTGCGTACAACAGTTAACAACTTTAATCTTATACATTAACTTTAGTTATAACTTAATTATTAATGATTTGGTTTATAGATTTTTAAAGCAATACAAGATTAAATTTAGCAGAAGGCTAAACTTCTGCTTTGGAGACAAAAAAGGAAGGCAGCGAAAATGACAAAGAGACAAAAAAATTGTGTATATCTTGGTGCAGATGATTTATCTTCATTTTCTTATAATAAAACAAAAAATATTATTAAACTTTGGGATTTACCTGTAACTCGAAACTCTTTACAGAAGTTCAATGTTTGCTCTGAGAAGTTGAATGAACAAAATTTATTAAATGGTAAGTTTTTATATAAGTCTTTATGTCTGATGATTGAAAATCTTTATTCATAGCTTTAACTTTTACAATTTTAAAGACTTTTTCATATATTACGGTCAAAAAGTCAGAGTGTTAATTAACATTTTATTGTGTTATAATCAACATATCAAAGCTTACACCACAGGCTTGGTCAGGAAGTGGGAGCAATCGCTCTTGAATACTGACCATAAAAATTATATTTAGTTGCGAAAAACTGGCTAGGTTTTCTAGTTGTTTTGAAAACATTTAAGTTTATGAACGTAACAAAATTTTTTTGTTGGATTTCAAAGTTGGTGTCACCAACTTTGAAAACCATTTGAAATCAAATGTTGAAAAAAACAACAGTATTTGTATTCATATCAGTATTCATTTCAGTTTAAAGTTTTAACAGTTGCTAGTGATTCATTATTATTCATTAGATAAACGTTTATTTAAATTTATCTAATAGAGGAAGGTAATACAATATTTTTATAGATAATATTATTTTTAAAAATTGTATTATTAAAATTCAGAACTAAAATATGTAAAAAAAAATTATTTACAAACATTGGACAAGTTCCGTACTGTACCTTGAAAAACTGGAAAATTTGTTAATATTGGCTAAAGTCGTGGAAAACCTGGAGACATCAGGGAATTATTTTTTTCTTTAGATAGTCATGGAAAAATCAGTAATTCTAGTTAAGAAGTTACTCATTTCACAAATGAACGCTGTATTTTGAAAACGTGATGAGTCACACTTTTTTTAAAAGTGAGGTTATTTGAAAAGAATATTTTTTTTAGGAAAAGATAAAATTTTAAAATAAAATAAAGATTTTTTTAGATGAAATAAAGATTTTTTTAGATAAAATAAAGATTTTTTTAGAGAAAAGAAACAATTTTTAGATGAAAAAAAAATAAAATTTTTTACAGGAGAAATATTTTTCACTCCTTTGTAAAATTTTAATTTTGCGACTTGTCACATTTTCAAAATACAACGCTCAATTAAGCTATGTTTTTTTTTGGTGCTACCCATATATTTTTTCTGAAACTTATGTTTTTCTTAGTGTTCATTCATAGTCATCATTGAAGTACAACTTGGTAAATTACAAAATACATCAAATTTAGTTATAAAAATTTGAGTAACAAAGGTATGCTAATTATTGTATTGCCTGAAAGAGTGTCATTGCTATTAAAAGCAGTGAAGAATTCAAGTACTCTGGAAGAAAAGAAAATACGTAAGTAAATGGTAAATATTTTGTTATGATTTTTTTATGCATTTTGTATGATATCTTAGTACAATTTATATACTTTAAATAAAATACTCTTTGAAGATTTTTTGTAAATGACATTTTATATTAATTTAAGTCTAAACAAAAGTTACTTTAATTATTGCCAGGTTGTATTTTTGCAGGTCAATTATTTGGCACAAATTGGAGTTAAAGACAAAGGAGATTGTATAATTTATTTGCTAAGAATAGTTTTTTAAAATGGCCTAGTTGTAAAATTAAACTATGCAGAGAGAGGATAAAAAATTAGAATAGAAAAAATGTTGATTGCATATGCTGCTATTGGTAAGTGGTTTAGAAAAGTTTATTTTTCAGTTTTAATTTTGCATTACAAAATTACTTTCAATTTGTTATGTTTCTTTGGTGCATAATTAACCAAACGACTATTTTTTTTTGCAGAAACTGTGAAGTCAAATAAGCATGGCTTATGCAGACATGTGATAGAGATAGTGGAAGAAAAAATAATAATCGTGGGCACCAAATATCATAAGCTAAACACGATTCAATAACAAGTAGCTCAGCCAATATCGAAACTACTCTATAAACTTTATAGTGAATTTTTTTATTTAAAACTCTGTGTCAGTTTTTGGTTTAAGTTTGGTGTTTGCAATATGTATATTTAACCGATAAATTATGTTAAATAAATAAATTTTTATACTTGTATCATACATTCTTTTTTTTTCTCTATAAATTTTCAATGTAGCGATGCAAATCATCTTATTTGTAACAACGATCTAATGTTGCATAAAACGTTAGGCCAATATATAACATACGATATTGGGCCAATGTTGTATACAACGTTAGGCCAATTTTGCATACAACGTTGGGTCAATGTTGTATACAACGTTGGGCCAATGTTGTATACAACGTTGGGCCAATGTTGTATACAACATTGGCCTAACGTTATATACAACGTTGGGCAATTGTTGTATACAACAATGTTGTACACAACATTGGGCCAATACCTAACCAATGATCAAACCTGCATTGGGCTAACATCGGGTTTCAACGTTGGGCCAATGTAAGCTTGCTGTCTGGGGAGGACTTTTTTTTTTTTTTTTTAGTCAGCAAAAGTTGTAATGGCACCCCCCCCCCCACGTGACACCTACTCGCGCCGGCCCTGTTTGACTCTAAAGAAGTCCTTACGGTCTTATCACAGAGCACCGCGGAAAAGCATTTATTAGGTAGTTCACGCCTCCTTCCCAACCAAAGTCGTAAAACTTCCCCAGAGGTGGTGTTTGAACCACGGTTCTTACATTTCTGAGGCAAGTGCTCTATATATATATAATATATGTATATATATATATATATATATATATATATATATATATATATATATATATATATATATATAATATATATATAATTATATATATATAAAGAGTCAAACATTTATCTAGTTTTTCGTACTTTGACAGTCTGTTTAACTCCTTCAGAAGGTTTAACAAAAAAAATAGATAAGTGTTTATACTATATATATATATATATATATATATATATATATATATATATATATATATATATATATATATTTAAACAATTTAAAAAATGTTTTCTACAAAATAGAGTGCTCAATGTTCTTAAAAAAACAGAGCAAATTTCTAATGAGTCTTTGTTGATGAAACACAGTGTAAAATGAAAATAAATTTTGTTAAGTGATTTTCTACTAATTTATAATTTATATATATAATATATATATATATATATATATATATATATATATATATATATATATTATATATATATATATATATATATATATATATATATATATATATATATATATATATACATATACCGCATATATATATACATATACCGCATATATATATATATGTATATATATATATATATGCGGTAGTGATGTAGTGGAAGAGCGCTCGCTTCATAAACGAGTGGTTCCGAGTTTGATCCCCACCACGTCCCTGGTAGTACCGCGCTCAACTCGTTTCTCCGCGCAGCGGCCTTGTTCGTCAAGGTTCGTGTTTCGGAGTTATAGAGTTGAGAGAGGGTTATAACCACAAATAAATAGCCTCCTCGACTGTAGTGGCCTTCTCGGCCTTGAGAAGGTGAATTAAATATATATATATATATATATATATATATATATATATATATATATATATATATATATATATAATATATATATATATACATATATATATATATATATATATATATATATATATATATATATATATATATATATATATATAGCCACATCGGAAAAGAGCACCATAGCAACAGGTTACACAAGTTTAATGATTAAGATTTTCTTTTAACCCTGCAAAAAAAATTGAATCCACATATAAGAAAAAATACAAAAAAGATAAAAGGTTCATCTTGCTGAATAAATTTAAATTAAAAAATTTTTACCCTCAAAAATATTTAAAAAAAGGTTGAAAAATTTTAAACAAAAAAACTAAAGTTGCTTTAGCTGAAAGTAGATATTATTCAGATTCAGAGGTCTTGTATTTTATTTAAAAAATTTAAATAAATTAAAAGCAGGTATAATCAAAACGGATATCCCATCACTTTTCAATATACTTTTCTTTTTTACAAGATACAAAAAATAATGACGTCTATAAACGAAAAATTTATAATATTACTATTCAACAGTTTAAAGAATCAAAATGGAAAGTGAGGTGGGATAAGATAGTTAACATTGGGCCTAATCTTGCCTCAAAAATTAAGTCTCATAATAACTTATTTGAATCATACCTAGGTACCCAACTAGCACACATACGTTGTTAAAACATTAGAAAAATGTCGCGCGTTTCGTTGGCCCAACATCGGCTGCCAACGTTGTTTTTATATCAAATTAAATGGTTATATTTTCTACGTTGATTTAACATTTTATTTTCTACGTTGGCCAAACGTCGTATTTTTAGTTTGCAAAACGTTGTATTTTACGTTGTTTCAACATTGTATTTACGTTGATTCAGGGTTGAACTTTAATTGGCAAAACGTTTTATTCAATATTATTCGGAATTAAATTTTCATTAAATTCTAATTTCTTTAAATATATATATATATATATATATATATATATATATATATATATATATATATATATATATATATATATATATATATATATATATGTTTATATACACTGTTAAAAAATTCTCCGTAGATTCAACGGAGAATGTCCGGCAGCCAAGAAGACAGCACTTTCTCCGTAACAATTAACGGTTTCCGTAGTTTCTTTTTTCCGTAAAATTCAACGGAAAAAGTCTGTTAAAAAAGATACAGGACTTTCTCCGTAAAATTTACGGTTTCCGTATTTCATTTTTTACGTGAAAAGTAAAAAATAAATGAATAGAATTAATACGTTGTTATAAAAATGTAATTCAAATATTAAGACTCGTGAAGTAATTAAAAATTATAATATAATACATATCAAACACAACAACAACAAAAACTCAGTAGTTTTGAGTAATTTCGCCACACAAAAATTTTTAAAGAAAATTTATTTTAATCATATAGACCATATGCCAAACGCGCTAACTAACAAAAATAATTTTTTTGAGTTAATTCCATTTCCACAATTTATACACTGAAATTTATTATCAATTTAAATTTTGCCCCATAAATAAAAAAAGTATATATCTATTTATTGTTTTCTCAAAATCAATTTATTTGGAGCGCGTTTTCCAGATGGACTATTCATATGGAGATAAAATAATTATTAGAGTTAAAAAATAAAATATAGTAACAGTTACTATATATATATATATATATATATATATATATATATATATATATATATATATATATATATATATATATATATATATATATATATATATATATATATATATATATATATATATTATATATATATATATATATATATATATATATATATATATATATATATATATATATATATATATATATATATATATATATATATATATAATAAGAAACAATATTATATAATAAGAAATAATATTATATTATGACAATTTATAATACAGACATAACAAATATATATGAAAATATATTTTATTAGTTATAATAAATAAAAACAAAGCGTATTTTCGTCTATTGCTGCTCTGTCCATTCAAACAGCCCCAGTTCGTTAACAAAACTTATAACTTTAGGGTGAGGTCCGACATACTGCTTTATACCAATCTTCTTTTCGATTTTGTTTCCTTTTTCAGGGTTTATTTTTACGATACATCTACATAATAATTAGATAAGATTAATAAATCATTATTTACAGTAAAAAAAAGAAAAAGAAAGTAATTTTAAAAATATTTAAAAATTGTATGTGAAGCGAACATGTAGAGCATAGAGTAGATTATCAGGATGCAGTGACTTAGAAGAAAAGGGAAGGGTAGAAGTAGATAAAGTTAGAGAATACAATGCAGGTTAGGTAATGAAAAAGATTTATATAAACAAATGTCAATAAACATTATCTTATGACTTACCTCTGCAAAAACTCAAGGGTTGCAGCAATCTCTACTGGATAGCCAACATTTAACACATAATATGCAGCAAAAAGAACAACCAATGCCAAAAGAGGATTTGCAAGATTATTTATAATAACATGCCGATCAACAACCAAGTAAAAACTATTACACTTGAATATGCAAGTTTTTTTTTTAGAAAAACAAGCATAGCAATGTGGAATTTCCTAACAATAAGAAAACAAAATCTAAATCTATAAATAAATTCAATACATTTATTAAACAATTAGTAGCAAAAATGATATGTTACCAGCAAAACTAATACAAGGAGAAAGTGGAAGAGTAATGTCCTTTTCAATATCAACCACATTTGCATGCTCCTACAAGTATTAAAACATCACATAAATATATTACTGATAAAATATTACTGATAAAATATGCACAAAATATATTAAACTGTATTAACTTTTTCAATCAAGGAAGATAAAATTTAAAAAACCAATGGAAAAAATATTTACCATAGTCTGATGAAACAAAAACTTGGAAGATTCTTTAAAAAACTGGCAAATGCCCAAAATTGCAGCAACAAGTGGTGCTAACACATTACCTTGCCCAGCTAATATCATTTCATTTATGGCTAATTGCATTTCTTTTTGGTGTTGCAAAAATTTGACAATTATGGTAGATTTAATTTTAAGATTTTCTTCAAATTTAAAAGCTATGTCAACTCCAGTTAATGTTTTAAAATGATGTAAAAACCAATTGGCTTTAAATAAAAATGGCCATTTAGCCACTAACGATACTATTTTCAGTGCATTTAATCCGACTATATCAGCACGCTGTGAAGGATAAGTTAAAGAATGTAGCCTTTCTATTTCATAAACATTCCACAACGAAGAGGGCAAATTGTGATGATCTTGCAGCCACCCAATATGCTTGTCATATTGGGCATTGAATTGCTGTACCATCCCTAATATGGTAATTTAAATGAATAAACAATGCAGTCTGATC